TGCCCTTCTGCAATAGAAACTTGAATATGTTTAAATTCTACAGGATTTCCTCATTAATTTTATACCCATACTTCTTCTCTAAGCACATTTCTTTGAATTTTTTAAATAATTTTTGAATTACTGAAGTCAAGGTGAAAAACTAAAAACGCAATTTTACTATATTTGGCACATGGCTTTACGAATATATTGATATTTGTGTTTAAAATTTACTATCGCGCGGTGTTTATGTACAATGAGCTAGACCTTTAAAAAAAATCTTAATTATTAAATTAAAAACGAAATATAGCCAATACTGGTCAAGTACAGGAGTTTCTATTATTGCCATCAGTGCAAATTACAAATCCCGAAAATCCCGGGATTACTTGCCAAAAATCCCGGGATTTTCGAGATCTTAAAAAGTCCGGGATCCCGGGATTAACATTCCTAGTATGTATATAATTACGCATAAAAACCTTGCTGGTATGTTTTTTTTTGTACATACTAGGTGAGCGCAATATTAAAAGCAGCATCCATCCATCTATGACATAGATTCTATGTATATCGCAAAGCCCGGGAACGGCTGAACCGATTTTTTCGAAATTTCGTTCAAAGGAAGGTTATAGGCTAACAAAAATCTCGATATAAATAACGGGCGTGGCACCTCCCATACAAACCTAACTTTTCATGCTGCATACCTGTGGAAATGTTCATGAAATAGTGATGGAGATATATGAAATCCATCGCATACTCTTGGAGGAAAATTTGAGCTGTAGGAAAAAGTGGCGTGGCACCTCCCATACAAACCGCAATTTTCATACTGCACATCTCTGGAAGGGTTTCATCGAAGAGTCCTGGAACTGGGTATTCACGTATATGAAATCGAGCGCATACTCTTAGAGAAAAATTAGAGCTATTGGAAAAGGGGGCGTGGCACCTTCCATACAAACCGAATTTTTCATACCGCATACCTCTGGAAGTGTTCATGGTACAGTACTGGAACTTGCTATTGGGGCGTGGCACCTCCCTTTCAAAATTAATTTTTCATACTGTATATCTCTGGAAGAGTTTATGGTAAAGTATTGGAACTTCGCATATGCTTGCAGAAAAATTAGAGCTATCGGAAAGGAGGGTGTGGGAGGGGGCGTGGCACCTTCCATACAACCCGAATATTTCATGCTGCATATTTCTGGAAGCGTTCATGATAAAATTTTTGAACTTGGTACGGGAATATATGAAACCAATCACATACTTATGGAGAAAAATTGGGAGTTATTGGAAAAGGTGCGTGGCACCTCCCATATAAACCGCATCTTTCATAATAAGTATCTCTGGAAGTGTTTATGGTAGAGTACTGAAACTTTATACCGGCGTGGCACCTCCCATACAAGTCGAATTTTTATTATTGCATATCTCTACTATTGTTCTTGGTAGAGTACTGGAACTCAATGAATAATGGATATATAAAATTAATCGCATAGTCATGGAAAAAATATGGAGCTATTGGAAAAAGGGGCGTGGCACCTACCATACAAGCCGTATTTCATACTGCATATCTCTGGAAGTTTTCATGGTACAGTACTGGAACTGCGTATGGAGATATATGAAATCAATCCCATTGTATGTACATTAATACAATCCCAATCAGTACATTAGACTTTTTCATGTTAAAAAAATCAGTACTTTTCAGTACATACATCAGTATCAGATAATACTTCAAAACCCAGAGTAGTTGTTTTTAACAATATTTTGGTATATAAATAAAATATAGTTCATAAGAAAAGGTTTATTCATTTTAACATGAGTGTACACATCATTATATTTACGGCATATTTGAATAGCAATAATGAGATCATTTCCATCTTCAGTGCTTAAATAGTCAAAGAATTCTATATTTTTCTATTTAAAGTTACTTTTAATATGCAGTTCACTTTGTAAAATTTTAATGAGAAGCCGGTTTCTTTCTTTGCGCCCGGGAGAAAACTTTATACTTAAGATCCTCTAAGTTACTTCGTTTGAGTGTGGTATTGAAAAAAAATACATATTTTTTCAAACTGTGGAAAAGTACCACTATTTAAGGACTTCATCTATAATTCCTCATGGCTTAAATTAATTGTTTTCAACTACGCAAAAACTTTGAAAGGCTAAGAATTCGCTAATAAGAGTAACCAACTCTATATCTTGTATGCAAAACTCTTTTACAATGTGAATAAATTGTGAAAAAAGAATTGTAAGTTGTTGTTGTTGTTATTAAACTGAAAGTTATTTTCGAGACACCTAGCAACACCCGACAAAAAAACGTCAGCCTTCTTTTTAAATAATTAATCCTCCAACAAAAAAACGTCAGCCTTCTTTTTAAATAATTAATCCTCCAACATATCGAGGGCTTATATTCAGTACCCTCTGTCTGCATTTTCATACAAATGAGATTCTAATATAAAAATCCACCTAAGACTTAACTGTCATCGGTGATGTTAATTCTGACCTTGTATCACGCTCGGCAGAAGAATTTACTTTTAAATAGCAGAGTCGGAATTAACACCAGTGATGACAAATAAGACCCAGATGGGTTCTAACATCACAAAGTTGTTTTTGTGAAAATTGCAGATAGAGGCTATTGAATATAAGCCCTCGATATTAGGCTGACAGAAAAAAATAATTTTTAACTTAAATTGCTTTCATGAAACTGGCGTTTAAGGTATTTCTTCTCAGTCTATGTATGTACATTAGACTGCATCACCAAAAAAAGTTGCGGTTTTTCCGCCGGGATTACAAAATCTATTATATTTTAAGACGTCCACCACAATATTTCGGAAAAATATTAAGATTTAAACGAGCTGGACCGATTTGAAAATACCTCCAAAAATTAAATTTTTATGAATAAAAATAATTTCTTAAAGAACTTTTTGAAAAAAGTCCCCTCAGATGACAAACTAGATTAAGCTTAAAAAATCTGCATAAAAATATTTGAAAATCTTTTCAACGGAATCGTAAGAATGAGGTTTTTGATGCTGTTTTTTTACTTTTTTCACAGATTGGTTTACGAAAAACTTGAATAACTGGGCCAAAAATGTTTTCATTTAGACTTATGGGAACTCAGTAGAAAGGTATTTTCACAGTTTTTATTTCTGGCCAAAAAAACGTCATTCGTGTCCCATCTTGTTTTTTCGAATACCAACACATCTTAATTCAACTTTGAATGACGTTCATTCATCCTACCTTTCTCTTCCATCCTTTGAATGAGTTTATTAGCAAAGAAATAAAAAGGGTGAGAAAATACCTTTCCAATGACACCTCTTAAGTCTAAATGGGAAGAGTTTAGGTTCAGTTATTCAAGTTTTTCCTATACCAATCTTTGAAAAAAGTTAAAAAATAGCATAAAAATACCCCTTCATTACGATTCCGTTCAAAATTTTTTTTTAGTTTTTTTAATATTTTTATGCAAATATTTTAAGCCTAAACCGTTTTGTCATTTGAGAGGATTTTTTCAAAAAAAATCTTTAAGAAACTATTTTTAACCGACTTCCAAAAAAGGAGGAGGTTATCAGTTCGTCGGAATATTTTTTTTTTTTATGTATGTTACCGCATAACTTTGGACCACGTCAACCGATTTCGATAATTCTTTTTGCATCGGAAAGGTAGTGTCTGAGAGGTGGTCCCATACTAATCTGGTTGAGATCCGATCAGTGGATCATGAGATATATATATATATATTTTTTTTTTATATGGGAGTTGAAGTCGGTTTTTTTGTTGCTAAAAATTACTAGTAATTCATAAAAAAAAACCCATTTTTCGAGGTATTTTCAACTCGGTGCAGCTCCTTTAAATCTTAATATTTTTCCGAAATATTTTGGTGGACGTCTTAAAATATAATATATTTTATAATTCCAATGGAAAAATAGTACCAATTTTTTTGTGTATGGGGAGTGATGCAGTCTAATGTACATATATTGTATTTCTGTTGAACAAGGATATGCATCCATTTTGAAATTTCCACCAACTATAAGATACAGTTTCTAGGGCAGATTCACTATAGATCCGGTTCATTGTTGCCGCCAGGGAACTTCTTCATGGACATAACACTTTCGTTAGGTTATTTAAGGCGGAAAACGAGCACCAAACCATTATCTTAGCCGATGAATGTGCCAATGGAAATCGTAAACGTGTAGAGAAAATGTTGGACTAAAATGGTTAAATTAAAAATCAAATTTTGGGCGGTACGAAGTTCGCCGGGTCTGCTAGTATATAAATAAATAAGTTAGAGATGGGCACGGGACTAAATATTCAATCCCGATCACGCCCATCCCGACGTTTTTCAGAATTGTACCGCGGGTCTCGTGGGTTCCGATATCTATCACTAAGAAAAATTCACACGTCTTTCAAATTAAATTTAAATAATGAAAAAAAATGAAAGATCTGGAATCTTCCGATTATTTTGTTTTTCTTTGCTGTTAGTTTTCGTCTCAATAAAACATGAAAAAGTGAATATTGCACACAACGTTTTTAAAGAAGATTTTCCAAATTTTTGGAGGTTGCGATTTTATCGGGAGTGTCGGGAAAGGATTTTGGTCTCGTCCCGCCCGGAAAATTTTTACAGACCTTCCCGATACCGCCCATCCCGGCCGTTTTGAAATCAGTATCGTGGATCCAGCGGGTGCACTAATCGCGTGCTGTGGTGTTGATTCAAACTCAACATTTCAAAGCACATTTACATGGCTGTAGCTGAGTGCGCAAGGATGCTTGCCACAATGTGGTAATTTCCAGAGGGTCAGGGTTCAAATTCCATTGCAGGCAACATGCAAATTAAATATTTTTCTTTTGGTTTATCTTAATTATGAAAAAGCATCCGTGAAGTGCAGAACGTCATCCGTGACGTGCAAAAAGTTTCGATTTAATATGGGCGTATTTGAATTGAATATTTCCATTATACACTACTCTTGAACATGTTTTCATATGATTTAAATACGTTTTTATTTGATTTTACTATTTTTTCCTTCAGTGTATTCAGTGCAATTTTCACTTACCTCGTCAGGCTCGGATAAAGCGAACAAATCCAAGCGGTTCGCATTCCATTGCTGGATGACAGAGCGTACGGCTTCTCGATCGAGCATTTTTCTATCGTGTGTCATTTCTGCTTAGCTACTAAAATCTTGCGAACTAGTCAGTGGCAGTGTTGGGCGCATTTGCCTGCCGTGTTCGGGAGAGCGCTTGGGTAATCCTGTAAAAGAGAAGGCGAAAATGTAAAATGATAAGCTACAAAGGAAGTAAATTACTCACTAAAAACCAATACACAATTAATACAGTATTGAGTTGCTACATTATAAGTAAATACATATTAGAGTTCTGCATCGGAAGATATTTGGCTTCACATTGAAGTTTTCTAGTGAATACGCTACCTTCTCTTCCTCTCACTGAGAAGGCGGATAGTGAAGAGAAGTATAGTCGNCACACATGAGTTTCTTTGGGTATTTTTATGTCATTGCTCCATATCTAACCTCATACTACATCAAATTTAAATATTGAAGCACCCATGATAAAAATATAGTAAGGTAGAACCGCTGAGAGTTACTTTTAANGAACTAAGTAAAGTACTGGACAAAAATATGTTCCGAAAAAGAGAGGAACATAAAAGAGGAATACTACGTTGTGAAACTTCTGCAAGTAAAAGATTCCTTCATGTGAAGTTTTCAAGTATTTTAGAAAGATTTCGTTTGAGCATAATTTTTATATAAGAAATATGATATTTCTCGTGCACATAAAATATATTTACGTTTATTTCTATACGTTTTTAACCGACTTCCAAAAAAGGAGGAGGTTATCAGTTCGTCGGAATATTTTTTTATNGCACCTTCAAGGTCAGCTTTAAAAAAAATTCAAATTTTTACATAGGGTTGCCATCTGTCTGAAAATAAAGTGAATAAAATATTTTANTAATCTGGTTAAGATCCGATTAGTGGTGCATGAGATGTATATATATATATATTTTTTTTTTTATGAGAGTTGAAGTCGGTTTTTTTTGCTAAAAATTACTTGTTTATATATATACATGTATAAATATATGTATGTATATTAGGGTGGGTCAATTAGTAGGTCAATTAAAAANCAACGCTTTTATCGAACGAAAGGTATTTTAGTGTGCTTTTATCAAGAAGTAATATTTTTAATAGGGTTGCCACCTGCCTAAAAAGTTAAGTTAAATTTTTTATACAATATAGAGATTTTCGGGATTCTTGGGACTTATCGATATAATAATCNTATATATACATGTATAAATATATGTATGTATATTAGGGTGGGTCAATTAGTAGGTCAATTAAAAAAGTTGATTCATATCCTTGCGATTCTGGTACTATGGACCATAACAAACNCTATTATCGATATTTTTATCGAATTTGTTATCGATATTTTTATCGATTATTTATCGATTTCGTTATCAATTTTGATATCGACTATTAATCGATTTTTTTATCGATTTTTTTATCGATATTTTCATCGATTTTGTTATCGGATATTTTTATTGATTTTGTTATCAATTATTTATCGATTTTGTTATCGATATTTTTATCGATTTTCAAATCGATTTTGCTACCAATATTATTATCGATTTTGCTATCGAGATTTTTAACGCATTTGTCATCGATTTTGAAATCGATATTTTTATAGGTTTTATTATCGATATAAATTGCATCAATTCACCCTGTACCTCTAAAAAAGTTCTTACTTCAAAAAATAAAACCGATGTCCTTAATTTGACATCTCATTTTTTAAATTCGAGAGAACTGTGCAGATCTGATCTCCTTCACAAAAAATTGCTTCACGTATTCTAACGCCCATATTTTAATACATAAATATGTATGTATTCATTAACCTAACTCCCTTAATTTTTGTTGAATTTAACGTTTTAAACGGGTGGCAACACTCCTACATATTTATTAGAAATTGAGTCTTTTCAAACCAATTTATAGTAATACCCATACTTTAATAACTCATTTAACTTATTAAATAATCTATATATTAATACGCTAACATAAATTTTGTCTCCGTTCGTTTGGCGATTCTACCGAACCGATTTCAAAACCAAGAACACCGTTGGAAATTTTTCCGTAGATGAGCAGAGTTTTTATGGTTTCACAATTGGTTGAAAATTACGGCCAAAACCGTCGTTTAAACATTTTCGAATTGTGTATACATGTTGCTGCAACATGTTCAATTTGACATGTTTCGCCTGTTGTTTCACTACACATTTGAAATTAAGCTTTGAAATAAAGATAAATATGAAGATGAAGAAATAAATGATAACGATGAAGTAAAAAAAAAGAAGGCAAAAGTGAAGATAAAGACGAAAATGGAGACAATGACAGATACATAAGAATTAGGGTAACTGAAAGGGTAAGAACATTTCTTGAATTTATGAAGTGAAACTTCTTTAGCGGCAGTTGGTTGGTTGGGAGTAAATTGTCAAATTCAAGGGGAATAATGCACATGGAAATAGTTCTCAGCGGTTTAGCGGTTTGAGAATAAAAACAAAAACAAAGATGCCTAGAGGTACAGGCAAAAACGAAGATCAAAGTAAATTTAAACACTTTAAGGTAAAGGTGAAGAGGAATATGCAGAAATAAAGATAAATATGAAGAAAAGGATGAGGATGAAGATCGATATTGTTATCGATATAAAACTCGATATTTTTATCGATATAATAATCGATATTGCTATCGATAAAATAATCGATATTGTTATCGATACTGTTATTGATTAAATAACCGCTATTTCAATCGATATAATAATCAATATAATAATCGATATTGTTATCGATACAATAATGGATATTGTTATCGGCATAATAATCGATTAAATAATTGATTTTGTTATCGATTTAGTCATTTATATTGTTAACGATATGTACAATAATCGATACTGAAGATTGTTGTATTTATCGATGAATTCATCGATTTTACAATCGTTGTATTTTTCTATCTTTATGGATATTGTTATCGGTATTTTTATCGACACAGTTATCAACAGGGTTATCGATATACTAATCGGAACATGGAATGTGATCACATTACATGGCAACACATCACATGATATTACATCACATAATATGATATCACATCACACGATATCACGTGACATGACATTATATGATATTACATCACATTATATGGCATGACTTCACATGACTTGACATCACATGATCTGACATCGTATGACATGACATGGCATTACATGACGTGGCATCACATGATATGACATCATATGGTATGACATCAGAGGATATGACAATACATGACATGACATCCTATCACATCACATAAAATCACGCCACATCTTATCACGTCATCGCACCTCATCTCATCTACGTGAATAGAAAAAGAAAAGGATATAAGCAAAGATGTGAAAGATAAAAACAAAGATAAAGACCAAGGTAAATTTACCGCTTTAAAAACCAAAAAAGGTAATTTTCTGTAGATGAGGAGAGTTTTTATAGTTTCGAAATTGGTTGAAAATCGTCTTTTAAAAATGTCCATATTTGTATATGGTTGTTTTTGCAACCTGTACAATTTAAGCTGTTTCGCATTTTGTTTTACTTCGTATTTGAAATTAAACTTTGAAATAAAGATAAATATGAAGATGAAGAAACAAGTGATAACGATGAAGACAAAAAAGGCAAAAGTGAAGATAAAGACGAAAATTGAGATAAAGGCGAAAATTGAGACAATGAGAAATACATAAGAATTAGGTTAACAGAGTTGAAATTTTCCGATAGGAATCGAAATAAAATCAGCCATAAAGGTTACTGAAATTTATCGAATCATCGAAGTTTATTATCGCAACGTATCGAATTATTCCAACTGATCAATGTTTACTGAGTTGTCGAAATTTATAGACACAGAAACTTAGTTGTCCAAATTTACGGATAGTTATCGAGCTATAAAAACGTGTGGGATTAACGAAATTTGTCAAGTTAAAGAAATGTATCAAGTTATCGATATTTATTGAATTATCATTATTTATAGACTTAACGAAATTTATCGAGGTGTCGTAATGCATGGAGTTCTTTCAACTTACAGAGTTATCGATAATTATTGATCTACTGAAATTGGTTGGTTCAACGAATCGAAGTTTATGGAATTTTCAAAATATATCGATTTATCGAAATTTCAAGGTTATATAAGCTTATCGACATATCACTGCTTATCGAATTTAATCGCCTTAACAAAGTGTAACGAGTTATCAAAATGTTTAGATAGTTTTCGAAAAATGTGGAGATGTCAAAAGTAAAAATTTATAAAGGCAGCTAAAGTTTTTTCATTTTTGCGTTATCGAAATTTATCGAGCCATCGAATTTTACAGTTATCGAAATTGGTCGAGTTAACGAATTTTGTTGAGTTACCGAATTTTAGTGTTCTTGAAATTCATCGAACTTTCGATATGTATCAAATCATTGAAATTTATCGATAAACTTGAATGTATCGGGTCAATTTGAAGTCCTGCCGAAGTCCTCCAAAGACCTTCTCAGATAAAAAAAAATTGCTACGTGTTAAGTTAGTAAACCTCTCCAAGGCTTCTAAAACTAGAAAAACTGTCGAATTTCGACAGTAACTGGCACTCTAGTTAAAATAAAAATTTTAACAGGTGGCAACACTTGAAAAAAAATTAACCTTATTACACATCTAGAGGCCAAGCGCTTTAATATCACACCCCATTTTTGGAAATCGAACTAATGCAAACCTGATCACATTAAAAAAAATATATGTCTTCGTGTGTTATAAGTAGAATCCAATAAAGAGAACATAAAACTTCATGTACAGTTTTACCTTCCTATGCGAAGTTTCCAAATACTACGTTCAGGTTGCTTGATACTTAAGTATGTGAGCATAGCGGAACACATATTTGGTGAAGGAGAACGCCGGCGAGTAACATCGTTCAGGTACGCTCATTGGGGATATTCTCTACTTTTGTTTCTTTTTTTTGGGTGACGCAATAATGTGTTCCTATTTTTCAATTGAATGTGGAGGTTGGGCGTGAATTTCGCAGCCCTCTAATACATATACAGCATTTGAGATAAGCTTGGTTGTTTAACACAAATGAAGCGACTTATAGTTTAAGGGGCCCCGAACGCCCAAACAAATTTTTGTGAGCAGTTTTTTCAGGGGGTGCAATAAGGCTAACGGCAATAAGGCAAAATTTGCTTTATTTCATTTTTAAATGGGAAATAATACCAAAGTAGGTAGAATTGTATGTACCCTTCAGACCTCTAAATTTGAACGTATATTCGGTACAAGCAATAAAACGATAATGGCTATATTTCTCTTTGCGAGTGAAAATAAAACCATCATTTCGATATGGCCTTAATCAAACTGGAAATGGAAATAAAGCCATTATGGTTTTGTTGGGCTTTTGAAAATTTCTGTTTAGAAAAAACACTGTACGGCAATATTAACTTTTTTTGTGGGTATTGGACCAAACCAATTTCGTCGTTTTTCGAAGTTAGCCTCCGAAATAGAGATAGGCCCATAATATAGTTCGAAATAGGACCTTTGGTAAAAAATATTTAATTATTGCATGTAAATAACGAAAAACCTAAAAATATAGACTTAGTCATCTTTTTGTTCTTATTTAAATGGTATATAACTTTTTTTGTGCGAACTTATATTACAGGTGCTATAAGGGGTCCAAGTTCAGGTCTTCGAAAAATTTAATTCATTATATTGCAAACAATTTTGAGCTGATTTTAAAAAAATTGGTATCACTCTAAAGACGATTAAATCCGCTTTCTTCCGATATGCATATTTGTATACTTCGTATATAAAAGGAAAAAATACCTTTTTTATAAAAAAAATGTTAAGCAAAAAAGTTGCCAACCGATTTTTAAAAGGTTGGTATCGTTTCTTCTTTCTTCTGATATGCATATTTGTATACTTCGTATATAAGAATTAAAAAAAAAAACACATTTAAAGGAAAAAATAAATTTTTTTTATAAAAGTAAATATTTTAAACAAAAAAATACTAACCGATTTTTAAAAAATTGGTATCGCTGAAAAGCCGATTGAACCCCTTTCTTTTGAAATGCATATTATTATACTTCGTATATAAAAATTAAAAAAAAAAACTAATTAACCCAGATGTGCCTAGCGTACTATACATAGTACACTTGTAAAAGTATTTTTGGCAGCAACCCGTGAATTCAAATGCACGTGTTTGATTTCAAATTCCAATGCCATGGTAACGAGTGAGCTTCACTTTTATTCATTTCAAATTTTACATTCGTAGTTCGGTCATTGTGTGTTTACAAAGTTGTGGAAAAGTGAAAAATGAGTTACTCCGATATAAGATTTGTAAGGTAAGTACAAATTATGTTTTATAGAAATTTTTTTTAGGTCTACTACTAAAATCTACTAAGGCAGAAGATATAGTTTTATGTTATTTATCAAAGCTTTGTCATTATTTTACTTTTAGTTCAACTTTTATCGCCATATTCATAGGTGTACTACATGTAGTACACCAGGCACATGCACAACCATTTCATTCCTAATTTATAATTTGGCTGTAGAGAGTGTATTTTTGAAATTATATATTAAATTTAATGGAAGGATTTTATAATGGGAAAATTATAGTAATATATGCGCGAATGACATTTTGATTTCAGAGGCTTTTCGCTAAATGAGGCTCTACGTATGTTAGAAGATGACGACGAAATTTTAGAAAATGCTACTGGGATAACAATATTTCCCCCTGAGAACGAAGAAGTAACCGATGAAGATTCTGGTGACGAAAATGTAGTTGACATAAACGATTTGCCAGGGTTGCAACTTCGTGCACCTGCCGAAATTAATTTGAATCGGCGCGTTGACGACAGTGACTTTTCGTCCGATGATGATCTGCCGATAGCTCAATTGATCCCTGAAAAGCCTGCAGACAAAAACTTAAGTGCGAAGAAACAAAAAAGGTATAACTGGACGAAAGAAGACTTACCACCACCAATTATTTCTGACATGGCTGCTGATCCAATTGATCTAAGAGTGAATGAAAATATGAAAAGTCCGTTGGATTTTTTTGAGTGCTTTTTTGACGAAGAGCTTATAGATATAATAGTCGAAGAAACTAATAGATACGCTGCTCAAAAAAATCGATCACAAAGAGTGAATAAGACAGAAATAAAAGCATTTTTAGGGGTGTTGATCCTGAGTGGATATGTTTGCGTCCCGAGGAGAAGAATGTTTTGGGAAAGAGAAAACGACAGCCATAACGTACTTGTTGCAGAATGTATAACACGCGATAAATTTGAATTTATATTGTCAAATATTCATGTCAAAAACAATGAAGATCTAGATATCGCGGACCGATTTTCGAAAGTAAGACCTTTATTTGACCACCTCAATAGAAAGTTTATGGAAAATAATCAGATGGAGGAAATGCACTGCGTTGATGAGGCTATGGTTCCCTATTTCGGAAGGCATGGATGCAAGCAGTTTCTACGAGGAAAGCCAATAAGATATGGGTATAAGCTTTGGGTAGGATCAACCAGGCTAGGGTTCGTAAATTGGTTTGAGCCTTATCAAGGAGCATCAACAAACATAAGTGTGACATACAGCAACTATGGCGTAGGTGCTGCCGTTGTTCTAGAATACGCTGAGACGCTGCGCAAGAAATGGCGTGATGAAAAAATGCACATATTCTTCGACAATTTTTTTACTACTATTCCACTTATGGAGAAACTTACAGACATGGGTTTTCAAGCAACAGGTACGATAAGAGAAAATCGTGTATCCGGCAATCCATTACTCGACTCGAAAGTACTAAAAAAGCAAGACCGTGGGTCTTTTGACTTCGCTAAAATAACTGACCATAATATCATTGTCGTCAAATGGAACGACAACAACTTAGTATGCTTATGTTCAAATAATTCTGGAGTCAACCCGATATGTAATGTAAGAAGATTTTCGCGAAAAGAGGGAAAACATATTCAGGTAAACAGTAAGCTAATATGAAACACATACTGTGTCATCTAAATGCACGTAATTTTATTTTTTACAGATTCAGCAGCCTCATTTAGTTCGCTTATACAACGCAAATATGGGGGGTGTAGATCGATCAGACCAGAATATTGGCCTTTACAGAACATCTATCAGAGGAAAGAAATGGTATTTTCCACTTATAACCCACTGCGTCGATTTGGCAATACAAAACGCATGGCATCTTCATCGAAACAATGGGGGTGTCCTTGATCTGTTGAAGTTTAAAAGACGAATTGCAACGGTTTTGTTGACGCAAAATAGAAAACCACCATCAACATCTAGGGGACGACCATCGGCATTGGTAAATATTGATATCAGGTACGATCGCCTTGACCATTTGATCATAATACAACCTAAGCAAACAAGATGTGGGGAATGTCATGATCGAACAACCACTAGATGCCGAAAGTGTGACGTTGGACTTCATGCAAAATGTTTTGTCGCATATCACACAAAGTGAACTTATGTACATATATGTGCCTAGTGTACTATACATAGTACACCTTTTTTTCCAAAACTGAAATAAATAAAAAATTAATTTTGACTAAGAATGTTTTACTTAACAATAAAAACTAGAAAACAGATCGAAAATTTAAGTTTTTTTAATTGTCTTAGCTTTAGGCATATCTGGGTTAAAAGGAAAAAAAAATGTATCAAAAAATATTTTAAGCAAAAAAATCACTCACCGATTTTTAAAAAATTGACATCGTTGTTAAGGCGATTAAACCCCCTTTCGTCTAATATGCATATTTGTATACTTCGTACATAAAAATTTGAGAAAAAAGCACTTTAAAGGAAAAAATACCAATTTTTTCTTATAAAAAAAAACATTACAGAAAAATTACTATTTAGTAATACAATTGAATACCGTATTTAAATAAAACAGAAAATAACCTTTAATTTTTATATATAACCTGTTATGTAAAAAATCAAAAACCATGGTGTTTTTATATTTTTATATGTCTTACTGTATTACTAATTAGTAATTTTTTGGTTAAAATATTTTTTATAAGAAAAAATTGGTATTTTTTCCTCTTAAAAAAATGTATATGCCATATAAATAAGAGCAAAAGGCGGACCAAGTCTGTATTTTTACTTTTTTTGCTTTTTACATGCAATAGTTAAAAATAATTTTTTACCAAAGGTCCAATTTCGAACTTTGAAGGCCCATATCTCGATTTCGGAGGCTAACTCCGAAAAACGGAGAAATTACTTTTTTCACTTATGACTCAATCTCTTTAAAAAAGTTGGTTTGGTCCAATACCCAGCCGAGTGCTGTACAGTGTAATAAAATAATAGTTACAACAAAGGAACAAATTACAGTGACATTATTAAAATAAATAAAAATTAAATGAGGTATAACAACACGTCAAATTTGTTATCAAAATAACCCAGATTTTAACAATATTAAAGTTAATTTAAAGGTGGGTAATATACCCCTATACATACATACATACCAAAGATGAAAAACAGGTTTACAAAGGAAAATGATTTATAACAAACGAACTGATTTTATTGTTGCTTAATATAATTACCCTATACTCTTCTTTAAGTTTGTATATACAAAATATCCAATTAGATTAGTGGTATAAATTACTGTTATTATATATGTTACTTATTCATCAATTTTATTAAATCACTGTCCTTTCAAAACATCAATTCAGTAAAATACATCAGACAAAATATACAGAAGACAGTAATTTTCTGAACTATTTATTTTGAAAGTGGCATAAGTCACTTTATCGTAATGGAAAATGGTGATTTTTCCATGACTATACGAAATTATCCTAAGATATCAAATCCAAGCAAATCTTCTCGAATGTTAGCATCAAACGTATTAAATAGCAAAGAAGAACAATGAGAAGAAATTAAATAGCAAATATATGGATTCAAAAAAAAAAGTGACTTATGCCACTTTCAAAATAAACGGCTGATATATCGAGCTATTCAACCTTGACATTTTGCAGCAGAAACTATTAGTTAAATATAACATTTTATTCGAACTATTGAATTAAGGCTGTCCAACGTTATCCCAACCCGAATTTTAGCTTTAGTCGAACACATTACGGAAAACACGCGCTCAACAAAGCAAGGGATACAATACAAAGTGTTGCCACATCAAGATTAAAGCTCAAATAGCACAACCCACTTTTCACATGCTTCGACGGGCAAAATATTACGAACGCATTTGCCAAACATCGATTTGAAGGGAAATCCAAGGCGATTTCCTAAATTTTACGCGAAGAAATCCAAAAAGAAGGCCAAACTGGCGCTAAATCACTCAACCTGGACACTCTGTTCGCAATCATACTGTCGCCGGCAGCGACGTACACCGATCGTTGTCCGTATACCCGTACGTCATTAGCGATACCGCCCGTCGCGTCTTGAACGCAAGGTTGTAAGTACTCTGGTCACAGGGCCGCCTTTGTGTGTCCGGCGTAAATACTTACACTAAACTATCTATTAGGGCTATTCGCGATTCGGTGCATAAGAGCTGACAAATTTATGCAATTGCAGAAATATGCCATGGATTGTGAGCGACCTTTATTAAACTGTCATGGTAAAGCTTTTGCAAAACAATTTTTGTGCATCAGCTTTGGTTTTGTTTATGAATGCAATGCATAGCATTTTTATGCTATGGATTTTCGGTATAATAAATAATTTGCAATACAAATTTGCAATGCAATGATACTAGGCCACTTGCACCGGATCGCGAATAGCCCTAATGTCTTTTTTATCGCTGGGGAAGTAGGAACTCCGCCCGACTCTCGATTGACTGAGCGCACCTCAGCCTTGGACTAAACCCACCTCATAGAATGCTTTACCTCACTCATAATGGATCACTCATAGGAAATTACTCTGTTTAAGGTCGGTGTTATGTGGAAATTTAGTTTGGCAAACTGCACGCAATTGCTGTTGCAGCAACCTCGGAGAGAGTGAGTTTGACGACTCTCACAGCAAACAAATTTGGTTGGCCCAAACAGCAGTAAAATTAGTGTTGCCATATATAAAAAAAATTTTGATAATTGTTGTTATACACAAAAATTGCAGCGATACCAAAAGATAGAACTTAATTTATGCCGTAGGAGCTTCAAAGCTAGGGCACATTTAAATAATTGCCTATACAATATCATAGAAATAATAATTTGTACACGATATGTACGCATGAAAACCACAATCAACGTGCAACCCTGTGCCAAACTCAACCACCTCCGAGCAAAGTAAGCAGCCGCCACTTAATTTGACAAACATAACACCGACCTAACAAAATACTAAAATTTAAAATTACGTATCGAGGTTTTAAACCTTCTTCGTTTTTTAATGTTATCTTTACCATAATTTTTGTTGTTATTACCGCGAATTTGTGTCTACAAAATTTAGGGTGTGTTATAGTTTTTAGCACAAATGAAACCAAGCATGTCACAACGGCATGTCAAAAGAAAAAAGAACACAACTGTTATAAGTTGAACCTCGTTGAAGACGACACACATGCGGCAAAGCAAGAATTGGGGATGCATTGCTTGGGCTTAGTTGCCTTCTTTCCAAGTATGCTATTACCGTATACGACCCGGCTTTCTTGCCACCTTAATTATAAATTCATTTATTTGTGTGTGAGTGTGTGGTTTTTTTGTTTAATAGCCGTCAACGGTTACACTTAGTTGATCACAAATGAGCAAGATACCAAATAATAGCGAATTTTTTTTATTCTATGCTTCCGTTTGCCGTTCATTGCGAAAAGTTGCTCAAACACTTTTTGAAGTCTTCTGTGGCAGACAGCCGGTTTACATGTTTACATGGTCGAATGCAATCGCAGTATTCTAATGCCATTGCGACCCATATACATATGTACATATGAATGCATCCGAAGTCGCACCCACCCATTAAATGTTTATTTTTACTCATATACACCCCTGGTCATAATAATAGGTACACGACCTTTTTAACAGTTTTGACAATTTTTCTTTTGTTTGTTTAATGTTCATTAATTGTTTATAACTATACCGTTCGCCCGATTTTCAAAAGTGAGATGTCAAGTTAAAATGCTGGGTCTGTAGATGTGCAAACTGGTTTTAGGTTTTCGAAAAGAGTTGCCACCTGTTGAACAATTGAACACAAACTATTTAATAACACAGGTCCACAAAAAAAAAACCCCGATGAAAGGTTCCTTTGACCAAACCTAGACTAATATAGCAGAGAAAAAAGATGCCGCCTACAGGGCCACGCTGCGATCGGGCGCAACGTGCGCTATGTGGGACCGCTATAGGGATCTGAAGAGGGAAGCGAGACGTATTTGCCGCAACAAGAAGAGAGAGGCCGAAATACGTGAGTGCGAAGAGCTTGAAATGCTGGCCGACAGGAGGAATGCCCGAAAATTTTACCAGAGAGTTAGGCGACTTACGGAAGGTTTAAAGACCAGGGCGCACTCCTGTAAGAACAATAATGGCGACCTAGTAACTAATGCCCAGAGCGTACTTAAAATATGGAGGGAACACTTTTCCGCCCTACTAAATGGTAGCAGCACGGAAAGTTGTGGAGAAGAAGAACCCGAGCCCGCAGTCGATGATGACGGAGTCGACGTTCCACCGCCTGACTATGACGAGGTACGTATAGCAATAACGCGGCTGAAAAACAACAAAGCCGCTGGAGCTGACAGCCTGCCAGCTGAGCTATTCAAGCACGGCGACGAGTTGATAAGGTGTACGCATCAACACTTGTACAGAATATGGTCAGATGAACTCATGCCCGACGACTGGAATTTAAGTGTGCTCTGCCCAATCCACAAGAAAGGTGACCCCGCCATTCGCGCCAACTACCGCGGGATCAGCCTTCTAAGCATAGGTTACAAGGTCTTATCGAGCGTATTGTGTGAAAGACTGAAGCCCACCGTCAATGAACTGATTGGGCCTTATCGGTGAGGCTTTAGACCTGGCAAATCCACCATAGACCAGGTATTTACAATACGCCAAATCTTGGAAAAGACCCGCGAGAAAAGGATCGACACTCACCACCTATTTGTCGACTTTAAAGCCGCTTTTGACAGCACTAAAAGGAGTTGCCTATACGCCGCTATGTCTGAATTTGGCATCCCCTCAAAACTCATACGGCTGTGTAAAATGACGTTGAGCAATACCACCAGCTCCGTCAGAATTGGAAAAGACCTCTCCGAGCCGTTCGCCACAAAACGGGGTTTCAGACAGGGCGACTCCCTTTCATGTGACTTCTTTAATCTGATGTTGGAGAAGATAATAAGAGCTGCAGAACTGAACCGCTCAGGAACACTTTACTAGAAGAGCGTGCAATTGCTGGCTTATGCCGATGACATCGACTTCATCGGTA